TAATAAAAAAAGTTTGTACGGACAACTATCCCTTAAATTAAGATTCTTTAAAAAATGAAGTGACTCTTAAATTGCGGATTTTCTAAAAGAACTCTCAAGCCCAATACATTTCTAATTCGTAAATTTCTAATTCAATTTAGCGATGGCCGTATATCTGTATGTCAGTTCTTTGTAATCACCCTATCTTTCGAACGAATTGAGAAAGAAGGCCAAATTTTTGCACATATGTGTATTTTAGTAGGAAAGTTACATACATACACCATATAATGGTACCTCCCAATATTTTGGTGCTGTTAGCGACATTATTTACTGGAATTGTTTTAAATTTCGTATTTGAAGTTCGGAAACGGTGCAGCCTAGGCAAAAAATTACTTATGCTGGTCCTCGTCTTCGTATAGCCCCCCAAGTAACGATTTTTTCATGTTCCTTTCAAAAGGAGGAGGGTATTAAAAGTATTTATTATATTATTTTTAATTGTAGTACTTTTAATGCTAAAATTGTGATTTTTTTAAAATGGTTTTGGAGGATATTTTAAGTCATTTTTGGAAGAACTTCTCAGACCAAGGCAGGAGTTTTAAAAGAAACTTTTGGAAAAATCAAAGCCAAAAACGTGATTTGTTTAAAGACAATTTTGAAGGAACTTTTAATGCTTAAATCGTGAATTAAATAAAACAAGTTAAAAAGCACTAAGTTCGGCCGGGCCGAACGTTTAATACCCTCCACCATTTGCAACGAATTTGGAAATTTTTAAAAAATAAAATCCTTAAAAAATTCTGTTAAAAATTTTAAAATACCGAATATTGCCGTCATATTGGGGTCTATACGACGTGGACATACATAGGCATTGTTTGTCATAAGCCATTACCATATTCAAATTGGAAACTTGAAATAAACGGTAAATAATGTAGCTAAAATCATCAAAATGTCGTATATAAGGAGCCGTTAAATTGGAGCTGTGCAAAGACCTGGACCAGCAGGTCACAGGCTGTAGCATCCATTACGAACTTCAAATACCACATTTCAAACAATTTCGGTGAATAATGTCGCAAAAATCATCAAAATACCGAATATCGGGAGGTACCGTTATAGGGGGGCTATACGAAGACGTACACCTACACAGACAATTTTCTGTCTTAGGGTGTAGTATCCATTTTGAGCTTCAAGTACCAAATTTGAAACAATTCCCGTGAATAATGTCGTTAAAATCACCAAAATACCGAATATCAGGAGCTACCGTTATATGGGGGCTATACGAAGAAATGGACTTGCACAGACAATTTTCTATCTTAGACTGTAGTATTCATTACGAACTTCAAATACCTATTTTCAAACAATTCCGGTGAATAATGTCGCTAAAATCATGAAAATACCGAATATAGGGGGGTACTGATATATGGGGGCTATACGAAGACCTGGACCCGCACAGAAAATTTTCTGTCACAGACTGTAGTTCCTATAACGAACTTCAAATACCAAATTTGAAACAATTCCCGTGAATAATGTCGTTAAAATCATCAAAATACCGAATATAGGGAGGTACCGTTATATGGGGCTATATGAAAACGTAGACCTACATGGCCCATTTACGAACTTAACCTGCCTACTGGAAAAATAAACATGTGTGCAAAATTTTAGCCATCTATCTCAATTCATTCGAAAGATAGCGTGATTACAACAGACAGACAGACGGACATCGCTAAATCGACTTAGAATTTTACGCTGATCAAGAATATATATACTTTGTTGGGTCTGACATGAGTATTTCAAGGAGTTACAAACGGAATGACAAAGTTAATATACCCTCCATAGTATGGTGGAGGGTATAAAAATGTGTGAAACATTTAAATGAGAAATTTTTTTAAGAGAAATTAAAACCAAAAATGGGATTTTAATAACGTCAGCCATATGGCTACAAACGGTATATATCATTTGATACGGCCAAAATGGTCCTCATCGAAAAAAAAAACGGTTTTAGACTTCAGGTCTCTTTCTACCAAATCCGTTTCAGGACATAGTCGATCTGCAGTTGTCCGTCCATCTGTCTTGCTGGCTTGTGCGCACGATAACTCTCGAAGGTAGTATCCGATGAGGTTTAAACTGGGTATATCATAATGTTATTATCAAACTTATGGTAACTCTCCCACAAAAGGTTAAAATTTTTACATAACATGTTTTGACGTATAGAACAGGAAAGGATCGTCCAGTTTTGTGCAAGCTTTGCAAATCCTAATATTTGTATCAGTGCTAAGCCGAGTGAGAAAATGGACAATATCGGTCTACTCTATCAAGTACTTTCCCACAAAGGGTCTCATAAAATACAAAAACACCCTCCGATTCTTTTCAAACACGGCTGATCGCAATATTTATGTCAACACAAGATTTCGTGTGAAGATGGAATATATCGGACCACTCTTTCTGGTACCTCACCCACAACGGGCATCCGAGCATCCGATTATTTTTAAACTCAGCACATCTTAATATTTTTATCAACGCAATATCTGTTGTGAAGATGGAATGTATGGGACCACTCCTTCTGTTACCTTCCAATAACGGGAGAAAATTTTTACCGTGAAGCTCATGAAACGCAAAATTAACTTGCGATTATTTTCAAACTTGTCGCATCTCAATATTTCTATCAATACAAGATCTAGTATTTAAGGAATATGTCGGACCACTCCGTATGGTACCTTCCCCATAAGGGGTTAACATTTTTAATAATTATATGTCTTAAAAGTTGCGTAATAAGAATCAGATTTTCGTCAAATTTCACATATTCCAACATTTTTAATTACTCAAGATCTGGTGTGAAAATGCGATATATCGGACCACTCCTTATGGTACCTCCCACACAAAGGGGTTAACATTTTAAATAACCATGATGCTCATAAAATGCGAAGTAAGTATTCGATTATCTTTAACTTTCAGACATCCCAATATTATTACTAAAGCGAGATCTGGTGTGAAGATGATAGATTTCGTCCATGCCATCTGGTACCTCCCCCATAAAGGGTCATCATTTTCAATACTAACACCTATATATGTATGGATCTTCCCATCTCGCTGAGATGAGTCGATCTAGCTATGTATGTCCGTCCGTCTGTCCATGTTAATTTGTAATCATTCTACAGGTCACAATTATGGCCCGATCTTCACGAAACTTAGAATGGAGGCCAGAATAGAACCCAATTACTTTTGGAGATGATCGCATAATTTTTTTATTTTTTCATATTTTTATCGCATGCAATTTTTTCAATTTGACTTATAATATTGAAGTGTATATTTCTTAATATTTTTTCACCTTACAACACAGGTTGAAGTTATTATATACAGATTGCCATAATCGTCCGATCATCACGAACATTTTCACAAGGCTGGAGTTAGGCTCAGAAGGTCTAGAACTATTGTTTTTAAAGATGTCCGCAATATATTTAGGGGTGGAAATGGACCAACAACTAAAAATGTTCCTGGTTTTGCAGCCGTTATAAAGGTCAGAAATAGAAACCAAAGGACACGAAATTTCGCATGAAGTTAGAGTTTAGGACAGCGGATAGAATGAACCACCACTTTTGTGTAAAAAAATGCCAACATTACTTACAGGCGATATCCGAAATACACAAAAGGCGAAATTTGGAAAAAAAAATATTTGGGGGTTCAAATGAACCAAAAACAGAAAAAAATTCCTGATCACAGAATTGACGCCAATCGACATGCCTGAGGAGAGAGTTAAGGACAGGGAAAAATTCTAGCATTTTGGATGACCATTATAAATGGACCATAACAACTAACAGCACGACGGAGTGCGTAAATACTGGGCAAATGTCCCTGGTCATAATTTCAAAAGCGAAGTCTCCCAAAATGGATTTGGACATAAGGTGGCATCTAACATGTTATAAAAGATTAAAATGCCTCTGTCAAATTTAGTGAAAATGGATTCAGAATTGGATATGCCTCCCATATATTCCCTCTGAAACCAAATTATAACTGCTCTAAAGCCAAATTTTGATAGGCGGTATGATCTACTTCAAATAAATTTTTTGTTACTGAAGCTCTACTAAATATGTGTATTTGTGTAGGGTATCATATAGTCGGCCCCGCCCGACTTTTGACATTTCCTTACTATATTTTTTTATACCCTCCACCATACTATGGAGGGTATATTAATTTTGTCATTCCGTTTGTAACTCCTCGAAATACTCATGTCAGACCCAACAAAGTATATATATTCTTGATCAGCATAAAATTCTAAGTCGATTTAGCCATGTTCCATATAACGGTACCTTCCGATATTCGGTATTTTGATGATATTAGCGACATTATTCACCTGAATTGTCATTTGAAGTTCGTAATGGATACTACAGCCTAAAACAGAAAATTATCTGTGCAGGTCCACGTCTTCGTATAGCCCCCATATAACGGTACCCCCCGATATTAGGTATTTTGATGATTTTAGCGACATTATTTACCGGAATCGTTTCAAATTTGGTATTTGAAGTTCGTAATAAATACTACATCCTAAGTCAAAAAATGAGCCATGTAGGTCCACGTATTCATGTAGCCCCACATAACGGTACCCCCCGATATTCGGTATTTGGATCATTTTAGCGACATTATTTACCGGAATTGTTTCAAATTTCGCATGTGAAGTTGGAAATAGATACTTCATCCCATGCCAGAAAATTGTCTGTGCAGGTCCACGTCGTCGTATCGGCATTTGGTATTTTTAAGATTTTAACAGAATTTTTAACGGATTTTATTTATTATTATTATTTTTTTTTTTGGAAATTGTCAAATTTGTGCCAAATGGTGGAGGGTATTAAAAGTTCAGCGGGGCCAAACTTACAGCTTTTTTACTTGTTCCTGTTAATATGATCCGTTATGGTCGATTTTCTAAAAATCATAATGGCAACCCTAGCGAGGACTGTTTTGAGCTCTCAGGCTCTCCGCAATGACAAACATTTGAAAATTTCATGCCAGGCCATTGAAATTATCCCACAAAACGAAAGCAGTCAGTCAGTTGTAGTCTTTAGTTCTTTAAGAATTGTAACATTTCCTAACTGGAATTCGAATTGTTCGTTTACGGAAAAAGGGGCAAAAAAAGAAAACACAAAGAATTGCAACAACAAAAAACTAGCAACAATAACATTATTGTTCACCCGTATTCCCCCTCGTTACCCGTCACCCACCTACAAATGTTTAATTAAATAATAGTGAAATTGTGAAAAAAAAGCTAAGAAATAATTAAAAATTCTAACGAAGAAGCCTTTTTAGATTCCCGGTTGTTAAAGACGCCTTTGAAAGTGAGGGAGAGTGAAGAGAGAGGAAAACGAGGAAGAAAAGAGAAATGCAAACGCTTGCTATGCAATTAAAAATGTAATAACAATTTATATATAAATCAGTGTGGAAAATTAGTTGTGTTACAATGTGTGTAGCTGTTGTTGCTGCTGCTGCTGAGGCTAACCGTGACCAAATCTCTGGCTGATGTTGATGCTGTTGCTGTGAGTGCGTCGGTGGCGGCTATATTGGATGCTTGGTGTGGACAAGATTTCCGCCTTCCCCAACACCAACTGTATTACGCATACTCTTGTTCTTCCACACACACACACACACATACACAGCACAATAGCAAGAAGAAGCAGAAGAACTACAACTACTGTATGTGTGTATGTGGCTATATGTGGGTGTGTGTTTGTGTTCCAGTTGAGATGAAGTAATCCTGATATTGACCCACATATTATATTGCCAGTCCCCCAATTGCCACCTTGTTGTTGGACATCTCTAACCCTTTTCCGCACACACACACAGACACAGACACAACTACAACAATAACAAATACGGCTCCCCAATGACTAAAAAGCGGGTGCGGAAGAATGTGTGATGCAACCCAGCTGAGGCAATTATTCAAGCAACAGTAGATAATGTAAATTGACCGGAACACCACAGTCACAGCCACAGTCACACCAAGAACAACAAAACAAACAGCAACAACAACAAGAATAATAAACATCATCATTTATCCTTGGCAAAAACAATGAACAACACAAAGTGGCCATCAAAAGAAAATAATTTAACCTCAAATTATTACAGCAACGCCCGCCTCCATTCCCAGTCGGCCGCCAAGGCAATCACGTCAAGGAGTCACATGGACCGAGGAAGTTGTATAAAGTAGAAAAAAAGCGAGAGGAGAGTAGAACCAACCCCACCAAAATCACCGAATCAATCAATCAACCAATTTACAAAACTCTAGAATAAATTTATCTCCAGAAAAAAAAAAAAAAACAAAAATATTGAAAAATAGAAAAAATATTGAAAATTTTCAAAATTCTAAAAACAAAATGGCCTCGGAATATGGTTTTTGGTTAATTTGTTGTTTGTTTAGTATTTTGTTGCTGTATTGCCTTTTCGAACTACACTACTTCCTACGTATGTGCCTGTGTGTGTTTCTGGCTCGCTTTGTCAAAAGAAAATGTCATATCCTCGAAACGACAACGGTTTCCGGTAGGTATTTCTTGTCGCTGGTGTAAATCTTTTTTTTTTTTTTTTTTGTAAATGATAATTTGATATGGCAGTGTTAAATGATTTCACATTAATGTTTTTCCCCCCAATGTTTGCACAAGACAGTGGGTCATAATTATAACGAAGTATCTGCATTTTTGTCTTTGAGGATTAATTTCTTTTTTAAATATTTTTGGTTTCAACCGAAAAAATAACTGAAGGGAAAGACGATATCCAATGAAATTTCCGTATCAAGGGCATCCGATTTCCATATAATCATAACCCACTGTACTACACACCCCCTTTTTGTTGTTCTTGTTCTCCAACAAGCTGGCAAAATTTAATTAAGGCGTCGTATAGAAAATCAATAAGAAAAACATTTATTTTTTCTGCTTTCGTCATAATTACAGACTTTGCCAAAGGCTAATTTTCGCAAAATGAGAGAAAGGAGGCAGACACGTGGTCGTCCTTGTTGACCACACATATAAAGAATTTTTATATGAGGCAAATATTGAATCCATTGCCATGGGTTATTCCAAATATTTCTCAATAAAGCGGATTTAAAAGAGAATATTTCAAATGGACCATATAAGGCACTTAGAAGGACTTTTATACTCTAGTGGTAAGGGTATTATGTCTTTGTGCATTTATTTGTAAGATGAAGAAGGAAGCGAGATAGTCTTTTAGTCACTTTTGAGGATCTTAATAGAATAACTTTCTGAGTAGATTTATGCATGCCAGTCCGACCGTCCGACAAAATACAGATAGCATTTATTATTCAATTGAGAAAATCTGTTAAAAAAAAAAAAAAAAAAAATGACCCAAAGACGAACCCTTTTGAAATTGGTGAGAATCGGTTCAACTTTAGATATAGCTCTCATATATAACATCAACCAATTTAGGGTTAATTGTGCACCAAATGACCTGAATTTTGGCACATCCGACCGAAGTCAGTCTAGAAGCAAGTACATCAAATTTGGAAAATTGGTTTTGATATAGCTATTAAGTCCCTGCGTAAAATACACAAGAATAAAATTTGGTACCATATATCAGATACGGGACAGAAATACATCTGACAAATTTTATCAAGATCGGTTCAGATTTAGATATAGCTAGCTATAGGATTAGATTAGAATAAAGCTTTCCTGTATATATTTATCCGATATGAAGTTAATTGTGCACCAAATGGCTAATATCAGTCCAAATGTCTAGTCTAGAAGCAAGTACTTTAAATTTGGTAAAAATCGGCTCAGATTTGGTTTAAGTCACTCATATTCGTAATATGCAATCTACAACAATGATATTTGTTACCAGATATCTCATAGTGCTTAGAAATACCTTTGCCAAATTTTATCGAGATCGGTTCAGATTGGGATGTAGCTTCCATATATATATATATATATATATATATATATATATATATATATATATATATATATATATATATATATATATATATATATATATATATATATATATATATATATATATATATATATATATATATATATATCCTCGTTCGATTTTAATTTTATTGAACGCCATATATGTTATATTCTTTGAAATTGGATGTATTTCGGCACATTCGACCGAACTCAGCCTAGAAGCAAATATATCCAATTTAGTGAAAATCAGTTCAGTCACAAATGCCTCCGTCTAATGGGCTCTATACCTCCTGACTGACTGACTGACTGAGAATCAACGCCCAGACGAATCGGTTAAAGCTAAAACAGGGTCAGTCTTAGTGTTTCTGGTTTTTGGAAATTAGTTCTAAAAGGCCACTAGAAGTACTAAAATGTTCTAAAAAGTGAATACCTTACGTTGGTAAAAAGCGTAATGAGCTAGAATTCTGAAAATTGGGAATGAAAGTCACGATAGATGTACCAAAGGGTTTACGAAAAGTTCTTAAATTGTACTAAACTTCTAAGATGGTACCATTTGGTATTATACGAACGGATAGCTCTGAAATCTTTAAATTTGGTATGGAATTCAACGTTGGAAAGTAAGTTTGATACATGAAGGTGGGTTGGAAATGTGTACTAAGTGTACGAGCTGTACTAAATGGTGCTAAAATTTGGAAAAGTTTGGTTTAGGGTAAACGGTTGAAGCTGAAAATTTGAAGTTTTGTATTGGAATCCCAGTTGATGGGAGGTTTTTGATAGAAAGGTGGTATTGGAATTTGGTAATTTGGTATTGAGTGAACGGATAGTGCTTGAAATCTAAAATTTGGTATTAGGCTCGCTGTTCCTTTGTGGAAATGTGTACTATAATTGTACAAAAAGTACTGAATGTTACAACATTTGCTATTGGGTAAAGGGATAGAGATACAATTCCGAAATTTGATATATAGTTTACTGATGATATTTGTGTTTGAGTTTTGGCTTGTGGCTTGGAAATTCGACCTAAATTTGTGAATGGATGGGGTTGGAATCTCGAAATTTGATATTGATATCTGGGATTGAGATATGATGTTGGTTTTGGAAATATGTACTATAATTGTAGGAAAAAAGCTGAAATCCTGAAATTTGAAATGGATGTGGCTGTTGGCGTCCTATATTTATACGAAGAGTACTAAATTTTGAATTAGGTGAAAGGATAGGGCTGGAAATCAAATTTTTATATTAAGGTCTCTGTTGGAATCTGAAATTGACATATGGAAATTGTTTTAAAAATGTGCTGTATTTGGTATTAAGTTAAGCTATAGAGCTGGAATGTCGAAATTTGATATTGAGATATCTCTATAGGTATCTGGTGTTGAGATATGAAGGTGGTTTTGGAAATATTTACTTTAGTTCTACTAAACGGCGGAAATTACAGAGCTGAAATCCTGGAATTTAATATTAAGGTTAAGGTTGGTATCTGAGGTTAAGATGTGAAGATTATTTTGAAAAGTATTAAATTTGATATTGGGTAAAGGGATAGGGCTCGAATCCTCAAATTTGATATTGAGGTCTCTGTTATCTGGGATTGAGATATGGAGGTTGTTGTAGAAATATGTACTAAAATTGTACGAAAAGTACTAAATTGTACTTAATTTGGTATTATGTGAAGGATAAGATATAGATGTAATTATTAATATTTGATATAGATGTCACTATTGGGGTCTGAGATTCAGATATGGAGGTGGGTTTGAAAATGCGTACTATAATTTTTCGAAAAGTACTAAATTGAACTAAATTTGGTAATGGAGGAAGTTAAAGAGTTTAAGTTCTAAATTTTTAAATGGATGTCACTGTTGGTGTCTGTGGTTGAGAGGGATTGTGATATAGGGGTGGTTTTGAAAATGTGTACTAAAGTTATACGAAAAGGTAAAGGTGTGAGGTATTGATTGACTGAGGGTATAAAAATGTTCTTCGGGAATTAGTTTTAGTTTTTTTTTTTATAATTCGTATTGCCGTTAAAAACAGATAAATTCTTAACAATCCTCTTTGTAAGCTCGTTTTTAATCACATTTTCTCTCTCTCCCTCTCTCTCTCTCTCTCTCTCTTTACATTTTAGGTATCTGCTTGACGAATGACATCGATACATTGTTGTATCACATGAATAATGCACGATATTTAAGAGAGCTGGATTTCGCGCGAGTCGATTTCTATGAACGCACCAATTTATATCGTACAATTGTGGCCAAGGGTGGTTCCGTATTTCAGGGAGCGGCGACGATAAGATATAGGCGATTTATAAGACCCTTTCGGAGATTTAAAATTGCTTCCAGGGTAAGTCCTTTCCACCTCTGCTAATAATGAATTCAAATCATAATTTCCCAACCCCCCCTTACAGATAATCTATTGGGATGATCAATCTGTGTTTATGGAACATCGTTTCATCCGGCCCTCGGATCAATTTATACACTGTATTGCGATATGTCGTCAACGAATTGTCGACTGTTCGGCGGAGGATGTCATGAATGAATTACTTTCACCGAAAACAGCCCAGCTACAGGCATCGCGAAATACTCTCAGTTCTACTGTCACCCTCGATCATGCCATAGCCAGTACAAATGTTGATCAGGATATGGCCGAAAACGGTCAGGTGCACACCAAAATGAAACCAGATATGCCTCCAGAAATCCAAAAGTGGATCGAATACAATGATTTGTCGAGTAAGAACTTGAGACCGACTTGCTGATTGCCAGAGTGGTGTGACAGTGGGCCTTTCTAGTTTTACAATCAATCCAGCTGCAGCGGATCAAAATGTGAATGTTGAATGTGAAAAGTATTGTTTATGTTTTCCTTTTATATTTATATTTGTATAGAGTAAATTAAAAGTATTATTATTTTTTGTTTTTTTTTTTTATTTTGGTTATTCATGTACAATCTACTATGGTATTTATCCTACAATGGTGTCTATATATTTTAATGAAGAACAAAAAAAAAAAAAAAAAAAAAAAAAATGATGAATTTAAAAAAAAAAAAGAAAACTGAAAAACAAACTAAAATAAATTACTGTATTAAAATTAAGGCGGGTCTGTTATTTATTTTCGTACCCCAATTTCAGGATCGGTAAAGAGAATGAATTATAAATGGTTTTATGACATAGTGGAAATTAACAAGTAAAAAAGCAGTAAGTTCGGCAGGGCCAAACTTTTAATAACACCTCCACCCTAAGGTAAAGGAAACATTAGAGCCCATTATGACATATTCATGGAAAAATGTGCCAAAAATCATCAAAATACCGAATATCGGGAAACACGGCTATATGGGGCTATAAAAAAACGTGGACTATACATACAGTGTTTCGCTAAAAGAGCTAGAACCCATTAAGACCAACAAATACCAATTTCTAGACAAATCCGCGAAGAAATGTGGCAAAAACCATTAAAATGCCGAATATCGGGAGGTACCGTTATTTGGGGGCTATACCAAATCGTGGACATATAATTACAATGATTCGTCACACGAACTGGGACCCATTATGACCTACGAATACCAATTTTCAGACAAATCCGTGAAAAAAATGTGGCGAAAATCATCAAAATACCGAATATCGGGAGGTACCGTTATATGGAGACTATACCAAAACGTGGACCTATAATTACAATGATTCGTCACACGAATTGGGACCCATTATGACTTACAAATACCAATTTTTAGACAAATCAATGAAAAAATGTGGCAAAAACCATCAAAATACCGAATATCGGGAGGTACTGTTACATGGGGGCTATACCAAATCGTGGACTTATACATGCAATATTTCGCCAAAGGAGCTAGAACCCATTATGACCTACAAATACCAATTTTCAGACAAATCCGCGAAAAAATGTGGCAAAAACCATTAAAATGCCGAATATCGGGAGGTACCGTTATACCAAATCATGGACCAATACATGCACTGTTTCGCCACCGGAACCCATTATGACCAACAAATACCAATTTGTAGACAAATCCGTGAAGAAATGTGGCATAAATCATCAAAATACCGAATATCGGGAGGTACCCTCCTTTCCAAGGTGGAGGGTATAAAAATACTGAATATCGTAAGGTGCCGATACATTGGGGTGATATACAATATTGTGGACCTATACAGACAAATCTACGTTTGGGGGTAAAGTACTCACAATGAACTTCTTGTGTGGAATTTCAGACAATTCCATTGAGAAATGTGGTTAAAATCATTAAAATACCGAATATCGGGGTACCGTTTTATGGGGGCTATACGATATCGTGGACCACTATAGACAATTATCTTGCAGGGGTAAAATACCCACAAGGAACTCCTTGTGTGGATTTTCAGGCAATCCCGTTGAAAAATGTGGGTAAAATCATCAAAATACCGAATATCGGGAGGTACCGTAGAACTATATAGATAATTCTCTCCCGAGGTATAAAGTACCCACAAGGAGCTCCTTGTGTGGATTTTCAAACAATTCCGTTGATAAATGTGGGTAAAGTTATCAAAATACCGAATATCGGGGGTACCGTTATATGGGGGATATACGAAAACGTGGACCGATATAGCCCATCTTCAAACTTGACCTGCCTGCAGACAAAAGAGAGATCTGTGCAAAATTTTAGTTTCCAATCTTAATTCGTATAGACTGTAGCGTGATTACAACAGACGGACAGACGGACGGACATGGCTAAATCGTCTTAGAATTTTACGCCGATCAAGAATATATATACTTTGTTGGGTCTAAAATGATTATTTCGATGAAATACAAACGGAATGACGAACTTAATATACCCTCCATATGTATGGTGGAGGCTATAAAAATTTTTACTTCAATGATTTGTCCAATAAAGTGTTGGATATTCGAACAGGTGGCTCTTTCAATGCATTATGTAGAAGCTGTAATAAATTTAACAAATCGTATTGAAATCGGCTGAGATTTGGTGCACGAAACACGCTATTTATCTCCAATTTCAATGAAATTTGGAATGTGAGAGTGTCGAATAATATTAAAATCGGTTCAGATTTGTATATAGCTCCCACATACATTTTCGTGGATTTCGCGTATTTGATGCACCAAACTGGCTATTTAAGTCTGGGTTTTTGGAAATTCGTACTAAAAGGGTACGAAAGGTACTAAAATTTACTAACTATTAAATACTTTTTGTATTGGACAAATGGAATGAGTTGTATTTCTCAAATTCGGAATAAGAGTCACAGATGGAGTGTAGGATGAATGTATTAAAAGGTTTTTGGAAATTCGGAGTTTAAGGCTACGAAAAATTTCAAAATTGTACTAACCTTTTAAAATGGAAACTTGAATTTTTTTTTATAATAATTAAGTTTGGAAATAGTACAGTTTGGCTCAGGGTTAGCCAGTGAAGCTGCAATTTTGTATTGGGGTCCCTATTGGTCGTAGGTCTGTGATAAAGCGATGGTTTTCGAAATGTGTTCTACAAGTGCACGAACAACCAAATAGCACTATATTTGGTACAATTTGGTATTGGCTGAGCAGATAGTGCTTGAAAACTGAAATTTGTTATTAGGATCACTGTTTATGTGTAGCCTGGACATATAGGGTGGTTTCGGAAATGTGTATCATAATTGTATAAAGAGTGCAGAACGGAACTATATTTGGTACAATTTTTGCGTTGGCTGAAATTTGATATAGAAGTCTCTGTTAGTATCTGGAATTGAGATATGGAGGTGATTTGGAAATTTTGTATTAATGGTATCAGTGTTTGATAAATGCCAATAGCTTGAAAATGCGTCCTATATTTTCACGAGAAGTACTAAATGGTACTATATTTGGTACTATTTGATATTGGATGAACGGATAGTGCTTTAAATCGGAACTGTTGGTGTAAAAGGGCGATGTTCATGTGTAGCCTGTGTACTATGGAAATGTGTACTATGCTTGTACGAAAAGTACTGAAATGTACTATGTTTGGTACAATATGGTATTGGGTGAACGGATAGTGCTTTAAATCGGAAATGTTGTTATTAGGGTCGATGTTCATGTGTAGCCTGGACATATGGAAGTGGTTTCGGAAATATGTACCATAATTGTACGAAATGTACTGAATGGTACCATATTTGGTATTGGGTGAAGGCATAGAGATGAAATTCTGAAATTTGTTATTTAGGTTCTTAATGGTTTCAGTGTTTAAAATAGGGCAATGGTTTGGAAATGCGTCCTAATTTTGTACTATAAATGTACTAAATGGTACTAAATTTAGTATGGGGATGGAATCAAGTTGGTATTGGGTGAAGCGATAGGGCTGAAATTTCATATTTAGATCTCTCTTGGTATCTGGAATTGTTATATGGAGGTGATTTGCAAATGTGTACTATAATTGTACGAAAAATACTGAATAGTACTATATTGTTGAAATTGGGCGGTTATTGGATATATGGAGGTTGTTTTGGAAATGTATGCTATAATTGTACGAAATGTACTGAATGATACTAATGGTATTTGTGTTAGAGATTTGGCGGTGGTTTGGAATGCGTCTTGAATTTGTACAAAAACTACTAAATTTAGTATTCGGTTTGATGTCGAGGTCTCTATTGGCATCTTGAATTGAGATATGTAGGTGGTTTGAAAATGTGTACTATTTCGAATTTTGGTATTAAGTCGCTTTTCATGTATCGATACGGTTTCGGAAATGTATTGGGTGAAGTTATAGTACTGGAATCCTCAAGTTTAACATTGAGGTCTTTATTGGTCTCCGGAATTGAAAAATTTAAGTGGTTTTGGAAATTTGAACTGTTATTTTCCAAAATCCCGAGCTGAAATCCCGAAATTTGACATAGTGTTGGTGTCTGATATTGAGATATAGATTTTTTTAATGCCTGTTTTAACTATGTGAAAAGAACTAAATGCAACTTAATTTAGTATTGGGTGAAGGGATAGACCTGAAATTATGAAATTTGATATTGCGATCACTGTAGGTTTTTAGGGTTTACGTATGGTGACGTTAAAATAATTTTTGACAGATATGGTTGATCTAATATCCAATTAACTCTAATACTTAGTTTGGATTTTAAAAAGGTTTCAAATATAAACGAAAACTACCACTCAGATGAAAACCATTATATGGGGACTATACGAAGACGTGGACCTGCTTAAGAATTTTTTTGTCATAGGCTGTAGTATCGATTACGAACTTCAAATACCAAAGTTGAAACGATTCCGATGAATAATGTTGCTGAAATCATCAAAATACCGAATGTCGGGAGATACCGTTATATGGTGGCTATACGAAGACGTGGACCCTTTTTGCCATAGGCTGTAGGCTCCTTTAAATAATGTCGCTAAAATCATAAAAATTCCGAATATTTGGAGGTACCTTTATATGGGGGCTATACGATAACGTGGACCGACACGGCCCATTTACGAACTTAAGCTGCCTCCTGGTAAAGTCGTCTTAGAATTTTACGTTTATACAGAATATATGTAATTTGTATGGTAACGGAATGACAAAGCTAATATACCCCCCATAGAATAGTAGAGGGTATAAAAAAACCCACGTTGTCGTTGGGCCCATTAAAAGGTACCTTCCGATATTCTGTTTTTGATTATTTTATCTACATCAAATCAAATTTCACTCATACCTGTTGACACAATATCAAGTGTGAAGCTATATCGGGCCACTCCTTCTGGTACCTCCCCCACAAAGGTTTCAACATTTTGAATAACCACGAGGCTCATAAAATGCAAAATAAGCAATCGATTCCCTTTGAAAACCGGCACATTTAAATATTTTTATTACCAAAAGATCTGGTGTGAAGATGGTAGATATCGGCCCACGCCTTTCTGTATCTACCTCACATCGGATAAAAATATTGTATAATGGTATCTCTCATACAATGGGAAATAAGCATTACACTATCTTCAAATTTCACACATTCCAATATTTCTACTAACACAAGATCTAGTAAGATGGACGGATATAAAGGAGCACTCCCTCTGGTACCTCCCCCACAAAGGTCAGCATTTTTAATGACCATGAAGCTCATAAAACTGAACTGAACATCAGATTCTTTTCAAACTGGGCACATCCCAATATTTTTGCCAACACAGGATCTTGTATGAAGATAGAAGAAAAAGGGCCAGCATTTAAAAGTAAAATAACAGTAAAGAAAGTCCTTAAGTCGGACGGGGCCGACTTTATGATACCCTACACCACTTTGCTAATTTAGTAGAGCTCCACATAACAATTAAAAGTTTTTATGGGAGAATTCAATCATACACGCTATGATTATAATTATCGTTTAAAGTTCAAAGGACTAAATTTGCCGAAGCATTTGTATCTTTTAAATTCAGACTTGTATTGCCAATTTGGTGCAAAATTAATTTGTTAAAGATATATATGAGAGCTATATCCAAATCTGAAATTTGGCAAATATATTTCTGAGCGTTATTTGATATATTTCCCTGAATATCGTTGTTACGGAGTGCATATTACGGCTATGGGTAACAAATACAACAAATCGGATGAACAATATATATGAGAGCTATAGCTATATCTGAATCGATATTCACCAAATTTGACATACTAGCTTCTAGAGTCAATTCGGTCGTAAGTGCCAAATTTCATCCCATTTGGGCAAATATTAGACGTTTGGTGCACAATAAAAGGTAAATCGGAAGAAGTTATATATGGGAGCTATACCAAATCTTAACCGATCTCGATAAAATTTAGCAAAGGTATTTCTGAGCTGCATTTGATATATTTCCTCAAATATTGTTGTTGCGGCTGCGGAGGACAAAAATAACAAATCGGATGAACAATATGGGAGTTATAGCTATATAGCTATATCTGAACCGATTTCGATCAAATTTGGCATACTTATTTTCAGGCCTAATTTGGTTGTATGTGCAAAATTCCATACAATTCGGGCTGATATTATACGTTTGGTGCACAGTAGAAGGCAAATCGGACGAAGATATATATGGGAGCTATATCTAAATTTTTACCGATTATCTCCAATTTCAATAGGGTTCGTTCTTGGGCCAAACAAATGATTTGTGGAAAATTTCATCTGGATCGGGTAATAAATGCGAAGTGTACTTTGTTTACAAAAATACATAGACAGACGGACGGACGGACATGCATAAATCGACTCAGAATGTGATTCTATGCAGATCACCAAAAGGAACTATGGGTCTATCTCGTTTCCTTTTGCCTGTTACAAACAAATGCACAAAGACGTAATACCCTGACCACCTTGTGGTGTAGGGTATAAAAAAGGGATATAAGCTGGGGTCTACTGAGCGAGTCATTTAAACCTGCCACTTTTCCACCTTCTTTAAATTACGAGCCAGATTAGGTATCGTTATTTCGTTTCTAATTTGTATTAATTTTAAAAAAACAAAATAATATAATACAAGGTTTCGTCGTGGAAGCTTTTAAGTCAAGTGTCATTTTTGTAAAGTAAAAAATACATAAATATTTATAAACAATTTCGATTTGCATTTAATTTGCCCGATGGCAAAAGTCCAGCCAGAACACAAATATTCGTTTCGAAATTAGGAAAGCCAAAAAAAAAAAAAAAAAAAAAAAAATTGAAGTGTACATATTTTCATCAAATATTTATTTACAAAACTGTAAGTACAAAAAAGAGTTATCCCGACAATGTTTATACAAAATATATTACAGTAAATTATCACTAACCTAACTTAATTTGTACAGATACTGCACAGTCTCATTTATCTTTACGCAATTTTTGGCTGGATACCTCAATGGCATCTAACCACAATTTCAACTCCCCTGGCATTTCGGGACGTTTACCGGCCTCGGGGTATGTCTTCATAATCTCCATGACATTACAGTTGGTAATGCATTGTTTGGACATGGCGACGGCACGAACGAAACCATCGGTCAAGGTAACAAATTGCTGTTCCAAATAGATGGCCTTATCGTCCCACCAAATCAGTTTGGTTTGAATTTTGTATGGATGGAAGATGGGAATGGTGCGACGATAACGGACACTGGAGGCACCCTGCACGGCACCACCACGACGTTCACGGATCTTTTCATAGATACCGGTCAGGGCATAGAAATGGAAACGGGCAAAGTCCAGCTCGCGCAAATAGCGGGCATTGTTCATGTGCTTGATGAAAATGTCCACATCCTGGGAGGTGCAGAGGCCTGGAAAAAAATCATTGCATTTTAGATTTTATTTTCAAAAATTTTCTTAGAAAAATTATAGCTTACCATATATTGTTGTTGTATCGGTAACTTTCCGCTTACTTTGGAACAGGCGGCCCGCAAAGACGGTGAAAACGCAACGTAGGAAATAATTAACATCCCAGATAATGTACAAGATGAGAGCGAATAATAGAAAACCCATGGTAACCGGTTTGTGTTTTTTTTTGTATACAACTGCAAGAGAAACAATGAAATTGGAATCAATATTTAAAACAAAAAAGAAACACAAAATTTTGTAATTATGCAGATTTTGAAATGTCCGAAGTTCAAGGTTTGGTCTTTCAACCTCAATGCTGGTGGCTCTTCATCATTGCATTTCGAAATGTATTCAATAATATTCAAAAATTTAATAAACCATAACACAGCAACAACTCTTTTGTAATTCCTCAAACCAAAAAAGTCAATATTCACCACTCACCTAGCCGACAAATCAAGAGATCACGTCCGAACCGCACAACTTAAGTTTACCAACTGAATGTTTTTATCAGAGCAGGGCCACTCTTCTTTGATCGTCTTCAAATTCAAAATTCACTTTCATTAACATAGATAAAACGGGTTGTGTGTGTGTATGGGTGTATCAAATAGATTGATTTTTATTTTTCTCTCTCTCTCTCTTTCTCTTTTATTCAATCGCATACAGGTGCATTAGTTAAAGCTTTATCGTTTCGAAAGCTAAACAACAAAATTTTGTAATTAGCTCAATGACTATATAAGTTTTGTTATGTGACGTGGGGCATATGCATGGTCTATGGGTATTAGGGTGGCACGCTTTTGGTTTAACGAATAGGTACCTCCCAAAATTTGTAACAATCTGAAATAGCCTGTTACATTTTTAAATTAACGTAGATCGTAATATTTTTCGTAATTTGTGAAATTTTAAGAACCATTTATTATACTTAGAGAATTTAGGTAATGTATCACCATTAGGTACTGAAATGGCACTGAATGTCTCCTTAGGGCCTTAATGGCTCACTTCAATGGAAAATTCATTATTCAAAAATTCTTTAATTTTATGGTCGCCATATCATAATCCCCATTGCAATTATGGGCATTACGACCAATTTTTTTCAGTGAAAACTCCCATAATGAAATGGGGATTAGGCCCATTTCAGGTTAGGTTTTGCCGACAGATGTATGCACTCAGCCAATGTTCGAATATTGAAATATATTTTGACTTCTGTTATAATTAATCAAATTGTTTACCCTCTATTGATCAATCTTTCGAAATTTTGAACCTATGTGGGGGAGGTACCAGAAGGTGTAAACCAATACATCTCATCTTCACAGCAGATTTTGTGTTAGTAGAAATAATGAGATGTTTGAAATATGAAGAAATCCGGATGCTTATTTTGGATATTATAATCGTTTTGGTTATGCAAAACATTGACCCTTTGTGGGGGAGGTACCACAAGGAGTGGTCCGATCTCTACCGTCTTTATAACATATCTTGTGTTGTTAAAAATATTCAGATGAGCCAAGTCAAAATGGAGTCAGGTGTTAATTTCGCGTTTTATTAGCTGCATGGATATTTAAAATTTTGACTCTTTGTGGGGGAAGTATCAGAAGGAGTGGACCCCATATATTCCATCTTCACAATAGACCTTGGGTTAATAAAAAATATTGGGATATGTGAAATAGAAGTCTCATACCACATTTTATAAGAGTTATTATTATTAAAATTTTTGACCCTTCGTGGGGAGGTACTTGATGGAGTTGGGCGATATTGTGCATTTTCGCATCTGACCTAGCAAATTGCAAATTTTAGGATTTGCAAAGATGGAACAACATCGGCTTATCCTTTCACTTTCTGTGTAGTAAATTATTTTCTTTGAAAATGTTGATATTTTGTGTGGGAGCTACAAGAAGGAGTGGACCGATATTGCCTATCGCCGAACTGGATCTAAGTTTGCTAATAATGTTACGATGTACCAAGTTTGTCGGATACTTCTTTCGAGAATTATCGTGAGCACCATACAGACAAACAGACGGACGAACCGCGCTCGCTAGATCGACTCCAAATGTCCTGAAACGGATTTGGTCTAAAGACACCTAGGTTCTAAAACCGTTATTTCGATGAGGTTTTTGGCCGTATCAAATGATATATACCCTTTCTAGTCATATGACTGAATACCGAATACCCTCCCTTTAAGTACCCTCCACCATTTGGAAGCAATTTGCAATTTTCAAATAATTTTCATAAAAATACCGCATATATGGAGTTACCGATATCTGGGGGCTATACGTGAACCTGCATAGACAACCTATGAACCTGCGTTCATAGGCTGTAGCACCCATTACCAATTAACAATACGAAGTTTCTGGTGGATAATGTAGCTAAAATCACCAAAATACCAGTATAGGAACTATACCAAAGCCTAGACCTATATAGACGCTTCTTTGCAAGGATGTTTCATACAAAATCGGGTTAAAATTGAGACTAAAACACCAAAAAAAAAAAAATAAATCTGTCGTTAAATTTATATGGCGGCTATAACAAAACGAAGACCAAAAGTTCTGCAGACCTAACATATAAAATGTTATCAACCTACTCCATTTCCTTTCGAACCTAGAGTGATTTCCACAGATGGGCAGCCAGACAGGTGGACGGACATCGCTAAATCGACATAGAATTTTATGTTTTATTTTATATTTAGAGGTGTTACAAACGGAATGAACAACCTCCATACAGTTGTAGATAAGGGTATAAAATAGAAGCCAAGTACATAGGCGTTTTGAAAGATTACACTCTAAGTAACCTTATTAAAGTGGGAAATTACCACTCATCCACATTTTTTTGATTTTTTCTGGAATCTGTGCATTTCAAGGTGTTTTCGGCCAAAATACTGACTGTCATCAGAATTACTTTGGTCAAAGATGTTAACCTTCAAAGGGGTATTTTTGGCCCTTTCCCAAAAAAAGGATTATAACAAGTCAAAATATTCTTCAAAATTATTTGTCATATCATTCCACTGTAGGAGCCAGAATATAAAAATAGTCTAAATCTTATCTAAACGCCATGAGTTTTTTTAAACAGATTACTTTTTAAAGTCGTACTGCACATGAGTTTATGCAGAATTATCGCATAAAGCATAAATTATCATAAGCATAGCTTAGGTTTAATAGTTTTTACGAAATTTATACTCGAAATTTCACGGGAATAAATATTCTAGCTCATATTCCAAATTAATTAATTAAAATGCATTGGGACTTGATGACAATTATAGTTTCGCTATAAGTTAAGCTTCTATGAGTTATGGTTTCAGCAAATTGTCTATAAACAAATACCCTTTGTATTTTTGTACCTTCTTTCGTAGGCGATTGTGAAATTTTTTGTAAAACATTTTAGTTCATTTAACTTAATTCCTTCCACGTCGTTTAATTCATAAAAAAACCAACTTAAAATTATATTTTTTTGGCATTTATATTTTCCACAACAAGGCACTTCAGCAGCTAAGATAATATTCAAAATGAGCGACCAAACAAAGCGGCCCAAACCATCCAAGTTTTCATTAAAGTTCATTACTATACAGTTTTGTAGATAAAACTTAACAAATATATACATATTGCATATGTGATAATAAATATATTAGCACTCACATATGCATATGAAGTTTTTTATTCCACAACAAGCGATATCTTTTATAGCCAGCAAAAGTTGATCGACCTACCCTAACATTAAAAAAAACACATATGGAGAGCTTTCTCAATTACATTAACACAGCTGTTTTGATTGCACATTTTTTTATCAACGACACAGAGAGAATTACAGAGAAAATATAATTAATTATTTTTGTACAGTTTCAACTTACAGATGTTAGGGATGACAATGTGGAATTTTTTGCACTCTTAGAAACGAAAATGATCCAACGGTGACATAAATATTATATTTTGCTATGTTAGACAATATTTAAGGAGTTATGGCCATTTTAAAGTATTCAATAATTCAACCTTAAAAAAGTGATCACAAATAATAGCTAAAACCGCCGAAAAGTCAATATTTAAAGAGCTATGGCCATTTTAAAGTATCCAATAATTCAACCTTAAAAAATTGGTCACAAATAATAGCTAAAAACGCCGAATGGTCAATATTTAAGGAGTTATGGCCATTTAAAAGTATCCGATAATTCAACCTTAAAAAAGTGATCAAAAATAGTTGTGGCCATTTCAAAGTATCCAATAATTCAACCTAAAAAAAGTGATCACAAATAATAGCTAAAAACGCCGAAAAGTCAATATTTAAGGAGTTATGGCCATTTTAAAATATTGAATAATTCATGCTTAAAAAAGTGATCACAAATAATAACTAAAAACGCCGAAAACTCAATATTTAAGGAGTTATGACTATTTTAAAATAATAGCTAAAAACGATGAAAAGTCTATATTTAAGGAGTTATGGCCATTTTAAAATATTGAATAATTCATGCTTAAAAAAGTGATCACAAATAATAGCTAAAAACGCCGAAAAGTCAATATTTAAGGAGTTATGGCCATTTTAAAGTATCCAATAATTCAGCCTTAAAAAGTGATCACAAATAACAGCTAAAAATGACGAAAAATCAATATTTAAGGAGTTATGGCCATTTTAAAATATTGAATAATTCATGCTTAAAAATGTGATCAAAAATAATAGCTAAAAACTCCGAAAAGTCAATATTTAAGGAGTTATGGCCATTTCAAAATATTGAATAATTCATACTTAAAAAAGTGATCACAAATAATATCTAAAAACGCCGAAAAGTCAATATTTAAGGAGTTATGGCCATTTTAAAATATTGAATAATTCATGCTTAAAAAAGTGATCACAAATAATAGCTAAAAACGCCGATAACTCAATATTTAAGGAGTTATGACTATTTTAAAATAATAGCTAAAAACGCTGAAAAGTCAATATTTAAGGAGTTATGGCCATTTTAAAATATTGAATAATTCATGCTTAAAAAAGTGATCACAAATAATAGCTAAAACGCGGAAAAGTCAATATTTAAGGAGTTATGGCCATTTTAAAGTATCCAATAATTCAGCCTTAAAAAGTGATCACAAATAACAGCTAAAAATGACGAAAAATCAATATTTAAGGAGTTATGGCCATTTTAAAATATTGAATAATTCATGCTTAAAAATGTGATCAAAAATAATAGCTAAAAACTCCAAAAAGTCAATATTTAAGGAGTTATGGCCATTTCAAAATATTGAATAATTCATGCTTAAAAAAGTTATCACAAGTAATAGCTAAAAACGCCGAAAAGTCAATATTTAAGGAGTTATGGCCATTTTAAAATATTGAATAGTTCATGCTTAAAAAAGTGATCACAAAAAATATCTAAAACGCCGAAAAGTCAATATTTAAGGAGTTATGGCCATTTTAAAATATTGAATAATTCACTCTTAAAAAAGTAATCACAAATAATAGCTGAAAACGCCGAAAAGTCAATATTTAAGGAGTTGTGGCCATTTTAAAATATTGAATAATTTATGCTTAAGGAAGTGATCACAAATAATAGCTAAAAACGCCGAAAAGTCAATATTTAATGAATTATGGCCATATTAAAGTATCCAATAATTCATGCTTAAAAAAGTGATCACAAATAATAGCTAAAAACGCCGAAAAGTCAATATTTAAGGAGTTATGGCCATTTTAAAGTATCCAATAATTCAACCTTAAAAAAGCGATCGCAAATAATAACTAAAAACGCCGAAAAGTCAATATTTAAGGAGTTATGGCCATTTTAAAGTATCCAATAATTCAAACTTAAAAAAGTGATCACAAGTAATAGCTAAAAACGCCGAAAAGCCAATATTTAAGGAGTTATGGCCATTTTAAAATATTGAATAATTCATGCTTAAAAAAGTGATCACAAATAATAGCTAAAAACGCCGAAAAGTCAATATTTAAGGAGTTATGGCCATTTTAAAATATTGAATAATTCAACCTTAAAAAGGTGATCTCAAATGATATCTAAAAACGCCGAAAAGTCAATGTTTAAGGAGTTATGGCTACCTTAAAGTATCCAATAATTCAACCTTAAAAAAGTGATCACAAATAATAGCTAAAATCGCTGAAAAGTCAATATTTAAGGAGTTATGGTCATTTTAAAATATTGAATAATTCTGGCTTAAAGAAGTGATCACAAATAATAGCTAAGAACGCCGAAAGTCAATATTTAAGGAGTTATGGCCATTTTAAAGTATCCAATAATTCATGCTTAAAAAGTGATCACAAATAATAGCTAAAAACGCCGAAAAGTCAATATTTAAGGAGTTATGGCTATTTTAAAATATTGAATAATTCAATCCTAAAAAAGTGATCACAAATAATAGCTAAAAACGCCGAAAAGTCAATATTTAAGGAGTTATGGCCATTTTAAAATATTGAATAATTCATGCTTAAAAAAGTGATCACAAATAATAGCTAAAAACGCCGAAAAGTCAATATTTAAGGAGTTATGGCTATTTTAAAATATTGAATAATTCAATCCTAAAAAAGTGATCATGGCCATTTTAAAGTATCCAATAATTCAACCTTAAAAAAGCGATCGCAAATAATAACTAAAAACGCCGAAAAGTCAATATTTAAGGAGTTATGGCCATTTTAAAGTATCCAATAATTCAAACTTAAAAAAGTGATCACAAGTAATAGCTAAAAACGCCGAAAAGCCAATATTTAAGGAGTTATGGCCATTTTAAAATATTGAATAATTCATGCTTAAAAAAGTGATCACAAATAATAGCTAAAAACGCCGAAAAGTCAATATTTAAGGAGTTATGGCCATTTTAAAATATTGAATAATTCAACCTTAAAAAGGTGATCTCAAATGATATCTAAAAACGCCGAAAAGTCAATGTTTAAGGAGTTATGGCTACCTTAAAGTATCCAATAATTCAACCTTAAAAAAGTGATCACAAATAATAGCTAAAATCGCTGAAAAGTCAATATTTAAGGAGTTATGGTCATTTTAAAATATTGAATAATTCTGGCTTAAAGAAGTGATCACAAATAATAGCTAAGAACGCCGAAAGTCAATATTTAAGGAGTTATGGCCATTTTAAAGTATCCAATAATTCATGCTTAAAAAGTTATCACAAATAATAGCTAAAAACGCCGAAAAGTCAATATTTAAGGAGTTATGGCTATTTTAAAATATTGAATAATTCAATCCTAAAAAAGTGATCACAAATAATAGCTAAAAACGCCGAAAAGTCAATATTTAAGGAGTTATGGCCATTTTAAAATATTGAATAATTCATGCTTAAAAAAGTGATCACAAATAATAGCTAAAAACGCCGAAAAGTCAATATTTAAGGAGTTATGGCTATTTTAAAATATTGAATAATTCAATCCTAAAAAAGTGATCACAAATAATAGCTAAAAATGCCGAAAAGTCAATATTTAAGGAGTTATGGCCATTTTAAAGTATCCAATAATTCAACCTTAAAAAATTGGTCACAAATAATAGCTAATAACGCCGAAAAGTCAATATTTAAGGAGTTATGGCTATTTTATCGTGTCCAATAATCCAACCTTAAAAAAGTGATCACAAATAATAGCTAAAAACGCCGAAAAGTCAATATTTAAGGAGTAATGGCCATTTTAAAATATTGAATAATTCATGCTTAGAAAAGTGATCACAAATAATAGCTCAAAACGCCGAAATGTCAATATTTAAGGAGTTATGGCCATTTTAAAATATTGAATAATTCATATTTAAGGAGTTATGGCCATTTTAAAAAATAGATTATTTCAACCTTGAACAAATAAGCAAAGGTAAAAGTCGGCCAATGCATTACGACGTTATAGTTTTAGGTATTCAATAGCCATGTGTTTAGCAAATGGAAACGGTGTACAACTCGTCGACCTGAAAATTTCTCTTTAAACTCTCCACTGAACTCTACAATGCATTAGTAAAACATAACACAACCTCGACATTACCGACATGATGCAAATATGTATGTTCGTCTGAGTGTGTGTGCAATGAATGACAAAGATAATGATGGCGACAAGTTCGACCCGTTTAGTTGATGATGGTAAGCCCCTCACAAATACGAGGGAGCTCTGTGCGTGCCTATCAAATAATACAACACAAAAATGGTTTGATAAGACCCACCGAACACACAACACTGCCAGCAAACAGCCACAAATATTCAGGCATCCATCCATCCATTCGTTTGCAGAGCAGAAGAACGAACATCACCTCTCCGGAGATACTCAACTTGGGCAGATAGACCACGACAATAACAACAGCACAACGTCGGTTTGTTGTGATATCTGAACAATTTGAAAAATGTCAAATTCAGTTCGTGTCGTGGATTCACAGCGTTCAGAACATTTCGAAAGATATCGGCCAGAAGCGAAACGTGTGATATTGAGAGAGCAGAATATCAAGTGATTCGAAACCCATTTCAGTGTTTGTCAATCAGTTGTACGCGTGAGTGGTCAACAAGCAGATGTGACAGAACAAGTTCTAAATAAATAAATGAATAAAAACAAGAAATATCGTCAACAGCAGCAACAACAACAACAAAATAAATTGCAAGCTTAAAATATTTTCGAAAAAAAATAATGATCGCCAGAAATTAGATTTGCTTTGAATTGAAGAAAATAAAATACCTACAAAAAAAGTAGAGAACAAAATCGACTTAAAGATCGTCGACGTCTAAAAATAATTAAAGAAGAAATAGAAAATACGCGCGGGACAAACAAACAGAAGATATCGAACGATTTACAACGGCAGTACGTGAGGTGTGTAATGATGATGAGATGCTTTAATTTTTAGGTCTTTTTTTTGGTGGAAAACTGTTTGTGCTTAAGCAGATTAAAAATAATTACAACAACAATGACCTATGAAATATAATTATAGTTGTTGTACAAAAACACTGCCAATGGAGAGAGAAAGAATGAAATAAAAATGGAAATGTAAATGTAAACATAACTAACAGCTAAGTCTCACTATGTGTGAGCTAAACCCCGGTCCTTTGTATGAGCTATACCCTGGGAAGTCTAATTTCAGTGGTTAACTTAAAACGCATGAAACTGATTTGACACTTATAGAGTGAAGGAGCGATATGCTTTGATGCCAAATTTAAAAATATCGGTTCACGTCATATGGAGTATCCCCAAAAAGGATTACAATTAGAAAAAAATATTCTAAAAATATTTTTTTTGTGGCAAAATAAGTATTAATCTGAAGATGACATATGTCGGTCTGCTATTTATACCCAAAATTTGAAAAAAAAAACCATACATGTTGAAATTGGGCAAAAATCTTGGAAAACTTAGCACATCCCAACAATATATCTTAAATCAGTTTAATCCTTCCTTCCTTCTCCTATGAACTATCAATTTTTGGAGAATTCTTGGATTCGATATAAACTTTAGAGTTATTCGAGGATTTCTTGGCTTAGAAAAGTAAACCCTACAACACTATGTGTTGGGTGTATGTGTAACTTTCATTGAGCCAAACATTATGTAACACCTCGAAATATTGGTTCCCGAATAAGGAAACTTTATATAAATCTTCCTATATCGTCAAAATGATCTACCTATGTATGTCGGTCCGTCCGTCTGTGAGTCTGTCCATATTAATATGTATTCACTCTACAGGTCACAATTATGACCCAATCCTCACGAACTTTAGCATGAAGGTGGTGCTAGGGTCAGGATTGAAGCCCGGAAAACATTTAGGAGTTAAAATGGACCAAAAACAGAACAAATTCCTGATGTTTCAATGGCTCTCTAGGTCGCAATTATAGATCAATCGACGCGGTCTTTAGCGTATGCCTAGAGTTTAGGGCTGGTCAGAAGCCTGCCATTTTGTTTGGTCATCTTACATTATATCAATGAAGGCGCGTTACTTAGACCGCTTATAACTCAAGAACGGCTGGACGGCAATAGACAATTCTCACGAATTCGAAATGGTCTCTTGCCAGAAAATGATAAAATCTAAGAAAATCGCATGAAAATATGCCAATAAAAAAGTGAATATTTTTATACCCTCCACCATACTATGGAGGGTATATTAACTTTGTCATTCCGTTTGTAACTCCTCGAAATACTCATGTCAGAACCAACAAAGTATATATATTCTTGATCAGCGTAAAATTCTAAGTCGATTTAGCGATGTCCGTCTGTGTGTTGTAATCACGCTACCTTTGGAATGAATTGAGATAGATGACTAAAATTTTGCATATATGTTTAGTTTTCCAGTAGGCAGGTTAAGTTCGTGAATGGGCTATGTAGGTCCACGTTTTCATATAGCCCCCATATAACGGTACCTCCCGATATTCGGTATTTTGATGACTTTAGCGACATTATTCACCGGAATTGTTTCAAATTTGGTATTCGAAGTTCGAAATGGATACTACACCCTAAGACCGAAAATTATCTGTGGAGATCCAAGTCTTCGTATAGCCCCCATATAATGGTACCCTCCTCTATTCGGTATTTTGATGAATTTAGATACATTATTCACCGGAATTGTTTCAAATTTGGTATTTGAAGTTCGAATTGGTTACTACAGAAAATTGTCTATACTGGTTCAGGTCTTCGTATAGGCCCCAAATATCATTACATCCCTATATTCGGTATTTTGACGATTTTAGGTACAATACCCACCGAAATTGTTTGAGATGTGGTATTTGAAGTTCGTAATGGATGCTACAGCTTGTGACAGAAAATTGTCTATGCAGGTCCAGGCCTTCCCACAGCTCCGATATAGCGGTACCTCCATATATAAGATATTTTGATGATTTTAGCTACATTATTCACCGTTTATTTCAAGTTTCGAATTTGAATATGGTAATGGCTTATGACAAACAATGCCTATGTAGGCCCACATCGTATCCACCTCAATATAACGGCTATATTCGGTATTTTTAAAATTTTAACAGAATTTTTTTAAGGATTTTATTTTTTGAAAATGTCCAAATTCGTTGCAAATGGTGGGTATTAAAACTTCGGCACGGCCGAACTTACTGCTTTTTAACTTGTTTATTTTTTGTCGTATCTTTTTATCGCATGAGATTTTTTCGTATTTGACATACAATATTGAATTTTTTTGGTAATATTTGATCACCTTACAACACTATGTTTTGGGAGTTTTATATTGAAGTCGAAATTATCCGCCGATTCCCCAGAAATTTTGCATGGGGATAGAGTTAGGTTCAGAATTAAAGCCTATTGTATTTCAAGTGTTTATATTTAATTATATATTCAAATGGATCAAAAATGGATCAAAAATTAATACTTTCCCTTTCCAGTGGCTCTACAGGTCACAATTAAAAACCAATCGAGGCGGAATTTTGCATGAGGTTATGGTATACGACAGCGCAGAAGTATAGCATTTTGGACAACCCTTAAATTATATTTAGCGGGTACAATGGACCACACATTTTGTGTGAAATTGTTTTGGATACCTATCAGCACGACATAAAGTGTAAATATAACGTAGCATTTGTGCAGCACAGTATGGATTTATTTCAAATAATCGACTAAAATGTGTTTGAGCCTAAGGAGATTTTCCACTTTATAGTGTTATAGTGCTGTAGGGTATCACATAGACGGTCCACACTGCTAAAGCCTTTGCTTATGTGTTAATGATGATTTTTATACCCTCCACCATTTTATTGAGGATATATAAACTTTGTCATTCTGTTTGTAACTCCTCGAAATGTAATATCAGACCCAACAAAGTATACATATATATTCTGGATCAGAGTAAATTTCTAGGACGATTTACCGATTTCCGCCTGGTTCTCTGTTGCAATCACGCAATCTTTCGAACGAATTGAGATAGAACGCCAAAACCCCATCCATATCTCTATCCCAGATACCACCAGTGACATGTATATCAACTTTTAAGATTTCAGCACTATCCTTTCACTAAATATCATTTATAGTACTTATCGTACAATTATACTACACGTTTGAAAATACACCACCATATCTCATTTCCTGATACTACCAGCGACCTCAATATCAAATTTGAAGATTTCAGCCCTATCAATTCACCCATTACCAAATTTAGTACAATTTAGTACTTTTCGTACAAAAATAGAACGCATTTCCAAATCACCCTCAAATATCAAAACAGATGGCATCTGTTAATTTAAATATCAAATTTCAAAATTTTTGCTCTATCCCTTCACCCAATACCAATTATAATACCATTCAGTGCTTTTCGTACAAATATAGTACACATTTCCGAAACCACCTGCATATGTCCAGGCTAAACATGAACAGCGACCCTAATACCAAATTCTAGGTTTCAAGCATTATTTGTTCACCCAATACCAAATTGTACCCAATTTGATACTATTTAGTACTTTTCGTGCACATGTAGTATGCATTTTCAAAATCACCTCTTTAGCACAAACCTACCACCAACAGGGATCAAAATTTATGATTTCGCATAAAATTGGATATACATGGTGAGATGAAAACACTGCAACAAACCAATGGTTCGAAAAGTAAAGAAGCGACTTGAACGAAAGCCGCGTCGCAGTGGCCGAAAAATGACAACTGAACATATCACAAAATTCCATTCGGCAAATATTGAAAAATGAGCTCGGCGTAAAGCCATTGAAATTCCAAAAAGTGTAAGAACTTACACCGCAACAGAAAGAAAATAGACTCAAAAGAGCTAAAGAGTTGCTTCGCTTGGTCGAAAGTGGTAAACTGGCGAATTTGCTTTTCTCCGTCTCCGATGAGAAAACATTCGTTGTCCAGCAGTTTGTAAACGAACAAAATGTTCGTGTTCACTTCCCACAGAGGTCAGCTGAAACTGTGCACCTTCGGTTGGCCACCAGAACTCAAGCGCCGGCCATGGTGATGGTGTGGGAAGCCATACCATAACAGCCGATGGTCGCTTTCCGCTCGTATTAATCAACCGTGCCATCAGAATAAATGCCAAATATTATCGCGAAAATATTCTGGAGGGTGTATTAAAGCCTTGGGCACGCAAACATTTGTGGCCGCAGACCTTGGACATTTCAACAGGACTCAAAACCATCGCAATCAGCACGCGCCACCCGAGAATGTTTTTCAAAATCGCCTCATTTCCAGCGCACAATGGCCACCGGATACCAATCCATTGGGCTATTGTGTCTGGAGTATTTTGGAAAGCAAGGTTGGCAGTAAAAAATACCAAAGTGTCGATCACCTCAAACAAGTGCTTCGCCGGGAATGGGCCCAAATATCGCAGAGCAACATTCGGGCAGCGTGTGCCGGTTTCATTGGCGGTTTGAAGGCCATAATTCGTACCAAAGGTGACCAATACGAACAAATCTAAACTTATTCAAAAATTTGATGATATTTCCGAAATTTTTTGCTTTTATTCAATAAAATTAAAAAAAATGTATAAAAATTATGGCCGTTGACTTTGTTGCAGTTTTTTTCTTGTAATTTTGCTCATACCAATATTTTTATGTGTATTAGATGAAGTGTCAAAGTAGAACACTTCGGACCACTATATCTGGTACACACACACAGTGGTCAGCTTTTGCCTAACTAAATATGTAAATTACGTAAAATCTAAACTGTATGGATCTGACCATATATAGAAATGATGGTGTCTATACTTTACAGAGACCCAACATACTTCCCTTCCCATTTTAGTTGTGTAGGGCAGGTTCGCACACTAACACACCTAACCTAACATCATTATTATCAAAATCATCATCATCATCTAAATCCATATCGCCAGTGCAATATATGTTATTACAATTATTAATTTAAAAAATAAA